AGGAGATATCATTCAGCAGCCAATACCAGAAAGACACGGATCTCAACACGCTAACACCAGCACAAGCCAACTACACAACGATGCGGACCACGTACCACTTCAAACGCTTTATTGATCTGGGTTATTAAATGAAATCGGAAGTAGCGAACTTATCAGGCGCCGTGCTGATGATGATCATACATTCCGCAAATTCGTCTTCTTCTAGAAATTCGTCTTACTTGGCGACACTGGTGGCTTACCAGTCACGCCGGACAAATCCCTTGCGACCGCATGTGCTAAAGCACAGTGCGCTCGACGTCAATGGATTATCCATTAGCGTCGCCTGTCTCTTCCTCAACCGATGTCTCTTTCCTGCACGCAGTAGTGATTCCTGTTGCAATTGGAAAGACTCCAATTGATATGCTCTTGCCATGGGCGCCGACCCACTGCCATCCACGCCCAGCAATTAAATTAACATCAATTCGTGATAAACTTAACTCTATCATGTCCTGATAAAGTAACCGGTTTCCTCACTGCAGCTTCCTGTACGCTGGTGGTCGTAAAGCATCTATATTGGTATCCGGGTAGAATCCATGCGGCGAATATGTCCGAGTCACCTCGGGTGCCTCAGCAGAAGTGTGCAGTTCACTGTGCACATGTCTCTGCATCACAGCATCCCGTGTCTGGAGCTCGGTCACTCCAGCCGATGCGCATAACACGACGCATTCACGGTTGGTGGAAGCACTTGAATAACGGACAACCCTCTGAGAAAGCGACCAGGTTTCGCTAACGCATAGAAGAACGAACAGCACTACGGACTTGTATATCGGTAGCTTCGTCCAGCCAGTGAGCTGGTGGTTTTTCCACAAATGACATTCCAGCTAACCGAAAGCAGTACTCGCATTCGAGACGCGGCTTTTTAGCTCACTCGTCTTCTGCAGGTCGGTAGTTATTGCGCCTTCAAGGAAGTAAAATCTCGGAGTGGTTTTACAACACTTCGTCCGCAAGCTGGATTTGGGGCAGTCCCACAGATTCCACTCCTCGTGAAGGCTGGGAAAGTCAATCAGCCTGGTTTGTGCCGATGGTGAGTCCGAAGTTGGCCGCTGTCGAAGTGAGTGTCGTAGTCATATACTGCAACTCACCCGCGCTGTGCGCAGAAATGCACAATGCTATCAAAAAATGTACAGAGTATGAGAACGTGGTTAGAATACTACTTAGCTACTCAGCTAAACACAGTCTTTAGTGGTCTGTTATACAGGAAGTTTTCTCTAATAGTAAAAATAGGAGTTTGTACCCAAAACAAGGTTAAAATTCGCGTTTGCGTTACTGGCATTCTACAAATTGGTGGCGGAAACGCGGTGGGCTATAAATTCTTTCACAATTGCTAACGAATTATCCGCTTTGAATGTGCTTGTTTAGTAAACTGCTGATAATTTTTAAGCAAAGGATTTTATGAGATCGCGAATTACTGGTTTAAAGTTGTACATTAAGCCCGCACACGTGCAAGAATATGCTAAAACTATTACAAAGCCCCGAGGGCAGAGACATATCGTTGGAATTAAAAACTGATCATGCATGAAAGTACGCCAACAATATGTCGCCAAATGTTTACGGCCGAAATTTGTCTTTGAATCTTCGCAGACGCGGACTGGTTGGCTGTCCTAATTTCCATGGAAATACTGAGAATTCCTCACAACCTGAGCCGCAACCAAGTACTTCAGTAGTGAACAGTTACCCTAGCAAATCCAATAACCTACCTTTGGGAAGATTTCCGCTCAACAAGTATACTTTAAAGGCAGGTTATGAGTCCTGAGACAACTAACTTACCAATATGGAGATAGTGCCTAAGTAAACATTGCTCTTTTTAAATGCTTGTTTTTAGCAAATTATCTTATCGCTGGCTTTAAAGCAACTAACATGGGCATCATTTACTATTGGTAAATGTTAATTTATATGTTTCATACGATAACGTAACTGCAACCGTTGCTCGCATAAAAAGGAACTGCGTTGGCTCGTCTATAAAAGTCACTGATAAACAAACCAAACACCGGTGAGTATATGGTGAATATGTCGGATTTAATGTTTAATGTTCTACAATTTGGAGCATTATCATTTATCACTGACTTCAAACTTCCTCCTAGACCGCTAAATGAGCTTCTTATTGAATCGCACTGTGAAAAGTTCTTTGAGTAGGTGAAAGATTTATAACCAGCCAGTGCTAATAAACTCATATGGTTTAGAAATAAGCTGACAGATATTGCTTATGGGGTTCAACATGGGCCAGTACAAGAAATGCGTGAGCTGACAAAACGGCATTTCCGGGCCTTACGCAAACTACGTGCTAAGGATGTGATTGTAACAATGCCAGATAAGTGTTCCGGTGTGGTACTCATGAATAAGGATGAATACACAAAGAAGATGACAGTCAAACTCGAGGACACAAGTAAATTCAAACCAATTGAGTGGGCAGAGGATGTGGCTGTGGCAGGGTCTCGCATAACTCATCACTTAGATGTGCTTCATCTGCATCGTGTGACTGATCGGGATAAGTGTGACAGATTGAAGCCGACTGGCTCCACTAATCCTCAGCTATACGGGCTACCAAAAGGACGAAAAGTGGGATGCCATTCAGACCGATTCTGTCAATGGTAAAGGCGCGTCAGCATAAATTGGCTCGCTGGATGATGCGATTGCGTTCTCTGCTGCGAGTGGACCAATCTATAGAGCCTCAAATCTTCGTTTCAGTTTATCGACGACTTCGTCATACTTAAAATATCCGACTATCTCACGTGCTCGTTAGTTGTGGAATCACTGTTTACCAATGTTCCCCTTCACCAAACTGTTGATTACGTTTGTGAATTAGCAGAAATTTCGCGGTGTCCTCTACCGATGCCAGATAAGCTACTAAGAGACTCGTTGTTGTTGTGTACCGAGAATGTCAACTTTTACTTCAGAAAACTACCGTACTGTGAGATTGATGGAGTAGCGGTGGACAGTCCATTGGGCCCGGTACTTTTTTATTTCTTCGCGTTAATGGTAGAGCAAGTTGGTTTGGAGAAATATCTCAACTGTCATACTACAAATGCTACGTGGATGATATTTTGTCAGTTTGTTCATTGGAGCATCAGATGGAACCGTTGGTAACGCGCCTTAATTCTGCGCATGCCAAATTGCGGGTCACCTGTGAGGTAGAGAAGCGAAATTGCCTCCTGTACTTGGATATCCTTAACAGCCGCAAAGAAAACGGGCAGATTAAGAGGTTTGACTAAAGGAAATCAGCATGGTCCGGGCAGTATCTGCATATCGCTGGCTTCTCACTAACGCAATACAAGCGAACTCTCGTGAGAACCCTGATTGGCCTTGTCAGACGAATTTGCTCCATTGATTGCCTGGTTGAAGAACTGCAGCTGATTACTAACACGCTCATGGAAAACGGCTACCGCAGAAGGTTCATCGAGAAACATAGTCAAGTGCGAACAAGGGATCTATGCTACACGGTACGCAAGAAGCCTGTAATCATTGAATGGCCATTCAAAGTTGACTTATCCTCGTTCAGGACAACAAGGCGTCTGATCTTTGTGATGCGGACAGTTTACTATGCCGCCAAGTTCGTTGTCATTAACAAAATCCAAAATCTGCCACTTCCTTCTGTAAAGAAGACTCAACCTATCGGGGCCAAATCGCACCGCTTTTACCAATTCATTTTGACTGTGGCGCAGGTTACATAAGCAGGACCGAGAGAACATTGAGTTCCCAAATGAAGGAGCACGTGCCTAAGTGGGTTCAGCATTCGACCTCGCAGAAAGCTGGCCAGAATCAAGCTGCTTGTCTGGGTAAGCCATCAGCCTCTTCAATCGGCCGACTCTTATTGACCACAAGTCACCGAGTCGAGGTCACTTCGGCGTTCACAAGCCTATTACAACACACCAATTCTCTGCTCCTCCGTTTCACAGAGGCGATTGCAATTAACCGGATTTAGCCGCTGCTTTGTGTTCGGAAACAATTGTCGGTCAGCATTTGACTGCACTGTGGATAAGGGTGATAACCTTGTCTCTGTTATCGGTCTGTTTGTTTTTGCATGTATGTTTGGTCGCACCCTTCACTGAAAAAATATTATTGCGAGTCATTGTTAAAGGCACTGGTGAAACGATACAAAATGCCTGCATTGGCCAGTCCTCGTCTTCTTACCGCGTTTTTCAAATAACTAAAGGGAAATAACTGTTTAAAATGCTCTTGATCAGTTTAAATATGCGTCTAGCTTATCAAAGGTAAAATGCTATCGACCATATAAATACCACTTTGTTTTTAAAAAGCTACGGATTTTCATAATTGAACCGGCCTAATTGTTGGTTTTCACAAGACAACCGAACGTAACTATTCATTGTGCTAATAGAGCATTTTGCGATATCGGGAATAAGATCGATAATGTGGTCATAGTTAACCACTCCAGTTCTGTCTAATTTTTAACTTTGCTCGCAGTCTACTTTCTTCTGTTATAGGCAACAACTTTTTCCATTTCAAAAAATAGGTTAGGAAAATAATGAACATTTTTGTTTGTTAAAACTATTCGTCCCTAGCCAGTATCCTGGTAGCTAATGAATTTGTTCCCAAGCTAAGTTGAAAATTAAACTGACTACTTTAATATTTACCTGTAGATCAGTACAGCTTACCATCAAAACTGGTACGAAAGCTGCCAAAGAACTCCAAATTGTACAAAAAATACATTCCGGTCAATTTTTAAAAAACGCATACGCTTTAAAATCATAATATTTTAATACTACCAATGAAAAAGTTAAGAATGCGATGTGAAAGCAGAAACTTATGCAAACTTTCTGATATGGAAAGCAAGTATTTTGAACGAAGCACAGTAAAGGAAATCCTTGCTATTCTCCTTCATTATCCTGAACAAGTTTGCTTTACAATAAAAATAATAAGTGCTCCATCTGATCAATTGTCATGCTTCCCCATTTTTGGATTTAAACCTATTGTTCATTGGGCGTGTCTGTTATATTTATTTATAGATGCCACTAAAGATGTATACACGCGGTCATCAGCAGATGAAGAGCTACAGGCACAGCTGCTTGCTGCCGAAGAAAAGCGACGTGAAAGATTTGAATCTGTTGAGGAGGAACGTGAAAATTTACGGCAGTCAATACGAGATAAGGTAAATTGACACCACCTTTCAACGCTTCATTATGTTTGATCCATTTGTTGCACTGTAGTACATCATGTTCCCTTAATGGTGATAATATATACTTGGTTTTGTTTCGAGCATTTGCTCAGTATTTTCTTATGTAGGCGGGGGCTTTAATAAGATGTCTTTGATTTTTAGTTAAATTCAGGATAGAGCACGATGAGATTCAACTTCTGCTGTCATAACATAGCACATCCATCTATCTGTACCAGCTGGGACACATCGCTTTCTCGGTGGATCAAATACCTTAGGTAGATCCGTCAGTTTCTATGGGAAAACCACAAGAGCTGCTTTAAAGAATGCATAACGGGGAAATCTACACAGTGATCATGCGGTTTGGTCATTTCAGATATGACTACAGATTCATAAGGAAAGCAATCCTGTAGTAGTTGACAAGATTATAGGTTTACTGTAACACGGGTACAATGTAATAAGTTTCTAGAAGTGCCATTATTGGAAATCTCTCTCTCAAAGTATAGTTTTCATTGCAGACTTGCTTTTGACGCCATAAACAGTGCGAAAACCTGTCTTATAGTTAATTCATGTTTCACATCGGATTCTCAATTTGAGCGGTTTATAGTTGACACAATATTCTGTAGTCAGAATTCTAGTTGATGTTTCCCTGTCCCCGTTTGCATATACGTTGGAGCACTTGAAGTTAGCTATGTGGCTAATTTTCATTCTGTGCTATCTACTCCTTGTTTGGAGTACAACTAGTATCTCAAGCTTCATTGTATTTTATCTCACCCAGCAATAACCATTTAGCATGCTACGGCCTGTCTAGTACCATAAGTCACAGATGAATGTACTTTATAAGTGATTTGTTTAGTAATAGGGTTTCATGGGTCTTTACATCTATTTTTCAACCAAGACTTTACTGACTATAACTCCAGAAATCTAAGTCTAAGCAACTTTTTGATTTTAATACATATCCCTCATCCTTGCTTGGTTCTTCTTCCCGCACCGTTATACCAACGGGCATGATGCAGATTTTGACTCAATAACGCACTTGTAAGATGTCTGCCTCTCATTTATTTAACTACTTAGCATTTTGTTTGCTTGCAGTAAGATCACAGGCGCAATATCATCCATACAGAATAAGTTACCTTTTTAATCCAAACCATGAGAAGTCCTAATCTTTCCGTTAATTCTGTTAGTGTAATTAGTAAAAATGAGTTAATAATACCAACGAAAAAAATAGGAATGCGATGTGCAATCAGAAACTGATGCAAACTTTCTGATATGGAAAGCAAGTACTTCGAACGAAGCACCGTAAAGGAAATCTTTGCTATTCTCCTTCATTATCCTGAACAAGTTTGCTGTACAATAAAAATAAGTTCCTTTTTCGCAACTATGTACTAAAGCAAAGTTTGTAGATAAATCACGCAGAAGGTGGCTTAATGAAGCATTCGGTAGCCGGTAATGAAGCGCGGCGCCTAGTGCAATCCATGCGTACACTATTTGTAATGAACCGAAAAAAACGGTCGCCAGATGAACAACTGAGAAAAAAATCAAGATTGGACTTGAGAAAAGAACTTTTTAAGCCTTCCTCAAATCCCCTCGTGCGTGTCACCAAAGTTTATTCTTGCCTATCTTGATTATCTTTAAATAGTTCACTGAAACGTTAAATCTTTTATTGTTAAAATTTCTTCGCAAAATAGTACGGTGTTACAATATGTCGGTTATGATAGAGAAAACCGAACTTGAATGAGTGTTGGAATGTTACTGGTTGACATATGCCTAAACCAGCAAATGCACAAAAGTAGACACAAAAACGATTGGTGGAGTCAAATGCAGAGTGTAGTCGAGAATACTAAACTGCATAATATAGTAAAGCTTTATAGCCACAATTGCGTAGTATTCGTAAACGACGGATTGCCACGTCATAAACTAGGTGGCAGCCTTAGGCATGCGTGTGATAAATTAGTCCGACAACCTAGTCGGATGTTTATCTAAGGGATAGAGAGAAACATGTCTGCTGACATTATTCAAATGTTTTTAAGCGAATGAATCTGATGGCTAATTGGTGATTGGTGACAAACAATTAAGTAATGGAATGTTTTTGCACTAGATTTCTTGATTTCTATGAGAAATGTAGCAACAGTGGAACGTAGCTGCACCGTTTAAAGTAACAAAATGCTACATAAAATTAATGCATATGAACAAGTATAGTTGAATAATAAATTGAAGCCCAAATACTTTTGTCACAATAGAGTACATTTTAATTTTGTTACTATATGCCATTATGGGTTGGGCAGTCAGCAAAACCAGTCAGCCGCATCCTAGTCATCATTCTCGCTGGACCGAAGAAAATGAATTTGTAACGGAAGAAAGGACAACACAAGCGAAATGTTCAGTTTTCTAATAACTGAGAAAATAGAAGATTTTCTCATTGTAAAAAGCTGTCGTATCCAACTGTGAAACAAAAAGGATCAATAATGAGCAAACACTACCAAATGGCGTGTACAGCATTTTACTCACTGACTAGCTAGTTTAAAATGATAAAACATTGGTATTTGGACTTCGAAACAGAATTTAGTTGAATAATATTTATCGATTTCGGAATGTGATGCATTATTATCAGAAGAAGCATAACATTGCTGCTTAAATCGTACACTAATTCCACTTCGTAAGCACGCCTTATGCACTACTAGTGGTGGCCAAGTATGGATCATTACAGCGTACGAAAATCATGTTTGTTTCTATGCTAATCCCTTTAACTAGATCACTACCGGTAAATTACGGGGAGGCATTAGGAGAGCAGTTCAGCGTAAATATGGATTAAAGTGTGCTCAATTATTTAACATATGGTTATGTATTTATCCACCACAATCTCCATTTGGATGTACTAATTGCATCACAATCCTAAAGGCACAAAGATTAAATTAAAATCATTATCAGATAATATAGGTGAGCACATTAGAATTATTTACATCAATCTGAGCCGAAAACATTGGAGCTAGTAACCTTGATTGATCTCCGAAAATGGAGTGGCTTATATGCTTCATGGAGTTGTTTCCACTGAATTACTGATCTTCACTCTGCAATATATTTCAACAGGTCGCTTAGATATTTTAGCGCTAAAGAAATAAGTTTACATAGCATTGGAAATCACAGAGAGAAATGGCAATTTGTCTGTTTTTCCAAATCCTCGCTTAGCATTCAACTCATGGTTAGGGTTGAACACGATTCCTTGCTTGTTTATTAGTAACCACTTAAGTGCAATCGCATTTGCTTCACTTGACCACTACATACCTCGCAGAAATGGTTGAAGTTAAGCCTAATTGATAGAAAAGAATTACTCTTCTTGTATTTTAAACAGCACTCAAAGCCTTGGCATAAAAAGACCATTGTTAACTGGCAATATTACGTAAAATGTATCCGTTTTGAAATGAATCGTAACTGGTGAATGGCAACAACTTCACTGTAAAAGCAGTTACTGTGCCAAACGAATATTTGACTAATATTTTATGTCAGATTACACTACACCGCGCTACATTACATTGACATTGTAAACTATGAATTGATTAAACAGAGTCCGGAAGTCCGATAACCAAAGATTGAAAATGATTTATTGACTAAAGTCAACTAAAGAGCCAAATTTTAGCATGCGGATTAAGTGACATGAATATCCAAGCTGAGGCATAATATGAATGATGTAAATCAAAGTTAGTCGAAATGAAAATTGTTGTAATAAAATTCCGGAATCGAAAAACGCTGCTTTTATAACACCAAAATATATGACCTTAAATATTGATTCGATCATTATAGTCAAATGAAGCGCCATGAAACCCGTGTATTAGAACAAAGGCTAGCGGTTTTCTGTGACCAACTCATTGTCGCTTGAATGTGTTAGCAAATGACTGCTTGTAAAACTGTTTTTCTTTATTTCTACACTTTATAGTATGGAATCAAGAAGAAAGAATTTCTCGATATCCCTGATTCGCAACAGCGCCGTAGATCCTTAACACCCCGTCATTCAGTCAGTTCTGTGGCGGTACCGAACAGGCAAATTGAAGAAAAGCAAGGCCCGCGTGAGTGTACTTTCACTATTCGAAACCATTTCCTGTGGTTTTGGCACTTACACCTGCATTAGATTGATTTAAATAAGAGCGCGTTATATATTTTTGCGACATTTGTTGTTGTTGCATACCGAAAAGCAGCCGACCAGAGCAGCACCGGAAAGTATGTATGGTGAAAAGTGTCTGCACACACGAGCAGTACAATTAAATTGATAGAGATTCGAACTGCAACCAATCCAATGCAAGCTCACATGATTGGCTAAAGAGTGCTAAATATAAGTGTGAGTAAGATAAGCGAATGGAGGGCAAAAATAAAGCAAAATATTTGAACACGACATTGTCCCCTACTTGTTCGTAAAAATATAAGCACTACGAGCTAATTTAATATCAGCACCCCGAAGAATTGTCATGGGGTTTTATCCGTTAATTCGTATCGGTAGACAGGGCGGCGAATCCGACCGGAACATAGTAAGTTTGTAATAGTTTGTCCCTAGCGCTCTGTTGTAGTTGTGTTCCTCTGTTAAATAGCACGTTGGGAATGCGCTGTATGCAGCCGTCTTGCATTCACCTTTGTCTCATCAGCCAACTTGTAAGTTCCTGGCGTGCACACAGATTCCACACGAGTCAGCAGTCCGAACACATTAACGCCTTTCCGGGAATAGGGTAGTCTCATACAAACAAATATCAATAGAAGATATGTTCTCCCAACGCGACTAAATTTAGCCCGGGAAACATCTCGCCTTTCGTATTCTGTGATTGGCATTTTCTTCTGATCTAAAGGCTGCATTTAATCGAGTTCTAATTGTTCGCCCTAGCACTAGCTCCGACAACAAACAACGGAGCCACTTTATGATGACGGCTGCAGTTACGTCCCTGCGGAGAATAGCCTCTGGTCAGTTGCTGTAGAAACAGGTAGCCACTAGCACGTTTCGCTTCTGTGGAGGTGCACTGGCAAACGGGGCATAATATCGATAACAATTTTTGCCCATGGCTTCATTGGGTACACGATAGATTGGATTGGAGTATTCAGTGGCCTCGCACACTTATCGGATTGTTGACATGCATAACATTACCAAATAACCGCCTCGACGCTAAAATGCAACTTCGGCCACCAGTAGCATTGTCGTATCCGAGCTTTTGTTTGCATAATCCCTGGATGACGTTCATACGCACATGCAACCACCAGAAGAATAAGGGTTGCAGGGACCACGAACTGCTCGCCTATAATATTGCCATTGCTCACAGTAGAAAGCTCGTACCGTATGGTACAGTATGGAAGTAACTTAGGTTGGATCTTGGTAGGCAGAGGCCATGAAGTGGATATGTACTGACGAAACTTCGCTAGGACAGGATCGTTGTCAGTGTGCTCTCGTATCAGGTCGCATGCTCAGTCTGAGAGCTACAATGTCATTTGTATCTACTCAAAGTGCTCGTTTTTCCCTTCGTTGGACAGTGAGTCTCGATAAATCGTCTGCAAGTTGGTTAAAGCACCCTGGCATGTCATTTTTTCATAATGATATTTCAATAAACGTGAGTTCCAACAACTCAAGCGTCCCAGCTTTTGACCTTTGTTACTGCGAGTTAGTAGCGTTGTAAGAGCAGTATAATCGGTGCGCAAATTGAATCGACGTCCGAGTAAGTAAAAATGCCATTTCTCACATGTCCACACGCCAGCGAGGGCCTCCTTCTCGCCGGTGGAATCATTTCTTTCAGTATCAGAAAAGGTACGTGATGCGTACGCAATCACTTTCTCCTCACTATCGTGCAGCTACGACAGAACTGCATCCAAGCCAACATCTGAAGCATCCACTGTAACAAACCTTGGACAGTGCTTACCGAAGATCGCTACG